TTTTCCAAAAAATTTTATTTATACTCTTTGTTCTTTTTTTTTTAAATTTAAATTTGGTTTTTTCAATCCAACTTAAATTTCCTTTTAATATTTTCTTTTTATTTTTTTTTTTTTTTTTTTTTTTTTTTTTTTTTTTTTTTTTTTTTTAGGAAAAAAGGGAAACTAATCTTTTAAATTGTCTTAAGATGAGAAATATTAAAAGGAGATTACAATACTCAAGGTAACACACCGTAGGGTTTTAAGTGGTGGTTAAACGATGTAACAATATTCTTTTTTTTTTTCTTAAAAGGCTTTAACCAAGTACAAAAGCTGAACTTACACAACCTTATTAGGTATTGTACAATACGATACGTACCTCTTAAGTGACTTAAATAAGGTATTACATGTGCCACAGGTACGCGTACCTAGTAGCTAATGTTACTAGGTAAGTCTCTGCAGTGGAGCGTTAGAGGTACCTAGGTATTGTAGAAAAGAAGGTTAAAGGCTAGGTACCTATAAAAGGCAATCGGAGGTTGCTGATTACCTCACCTGTGCTGTCGTGGAGCCGCGGTTCCCCTAAACCTGATCCGTGCGACGATACTCGCTTTTCCCAATTCCAACTCGTTTCGGCCCCCAACATACCCTGAATCAACCTCAATTTAGGATAGAGCCGCAGACCATTACCAGGCTTCAGAGTCTTAAGGGCTTACCCACGACCCAGAAGCAGCCTATTCTTCATGCACGACAAGCTTGACAAGCTCGAACATGTGCCAATGGGTCGCCCCCAACTCGATTTTTTCTCTTCCCTTCTGGTATTTTTAGGGAGCCCTCATTATTGATCTGCCAACCGGCGCGTGGCCCGCGGACTGTCCCAACTCCTTCGACTAACAACGGCCCGCTCCCTACTCTTTTTACTATGCCTACTCTCTCTACTATGGGCTGACTCGTGGGTGTGCCCATATTGTCTCTTCTGGACTAAGTATCATCACCATAGGCATGTCATCGGCGTGTCATAGGCATATCCTAATATACCTTAGGTTACCTAGGTATGCTCTAGCATTTCACTATTCCGGATTCTAGGTTCCTTATTCTAGATTCCAGATTCTTCGGTGAGAGTTCTAAGCACCAGGATTTGGACTGCCCTGCGTGGTAAATACTATATTGCCTTCTAATACATGCTATCACTTGATCTTGCTAAGTCATGTATTAGTGAGTAAGCATATATACACATGTGTGAACATAGCTTCACAATCGCTCTTTTCTAATCGTCTGTCTTACTATTCTGGGGTTGTATGTTATAGGACATCGCCTTACTCCTTAGCATGTATGTCAAGGGTCTACAGCGCTTCCCACCCGGCACGGTGATGGAGACTTGTAACCCTTTCTATCGGAGATTCAGGCATCTCTCCTTGCTTGATTCTAATTCGTCTGCCACACCTCCCCAGCTGTTATTACGAATTTTCCAATGCTGTTTAGCCATTGGTGGAACACGCACCCTAAAGCTCACCGAAGCCGTCTTTTGCTCACACCCCTTACACATCTCCGTCCCCGGGTCTCTAAAATGCAGCCCAGATAGTGGAACACCATGCAGCAACCTACTATAGGCCGTAGCGTAGGTACTTTAACGACCTTGGGTCATTACCGAATGACTCTGAAGACGAAATGACGCCTACCCGACTTACAGTACTTACTCAAATATGCGGGTCAGCATCTTCATTCTCTTAGGCAGCACTGACTATCACTTCGATCTAGATGGACTACACCGACCATACAGAAAATCACTAGACATAGATGTGGACGCGGCTTTACCATTAAGGGATATTGCAGGAGGAGTTCGTACGAACCCTTGCCGGGAATACACCCACTGCTACTGTTAAAGCTGGCACGAGTCTGTTGGTAGTACTCGAGAAGTCTCTAAAAGGAGCCGGATTAGATCGCCCATCTCCGCACGGCATCCCCTCAGGATCCAAGGTTATAATATACTTGTATCAGGGCCCACTTGTTCAGAGGTCATCCCACGGCTCAGTTGTGTCCATTCTGACCATTTGGACGAGCCGAGTCGAACTGGAGATGCGTATCTCGTGGAAATCACCTACCTAAACTTGCCTAAAGAACCCCTCTCTGAATCTTTCGGCGTCCTCCATCTTGGAAAGCCGTAGGCGCTTGAGAATTGGCTCGCCCACTCGGCTGTCTCCTGCTAGTTTCAGAATTTCGAGTGACACCGGACTGTTCCTTTGCGCTGTGCGCCACTTAGAACGCGAGTCCCAGGGGTTGACTCACCAAGGCATCTCCGGTACTAATAAACTGAAGTATATACCTTGTAGCAATTTGCCAGTGCGAGATTTTCTACACCCTTAGCGGCCGAAAAGTGGTAAAGGCAGACTTCAAGTAGACGAGCCTGGCCATAAGCCCCTATTATACTCTCTTCTGCGATATTATTTATTTAATAAGCTTTGCAAACCGCTTCGATCATGGGTAGAAAGACATCAACGGCTATGATGCGAATTGCGATCGCAGGAGCTGGGGGCTTTGCAGCCCTTCTAGTCCAGGAGCTATCTCGGACTGCCTACGCCATACTCGTGCTATCGACAAAGGTGACAAAACTATAAATAATCATAATACTAAAGGCTGGCTAATTCATCAATAGGAGCACCCGGAACTAGAATCCAATTTCGACTGCCAGGTATCTGTAGTCGATTATTCGAACCTTGACGATCTCCAGTTCGCTCTTCAGGGTGTTGACCTTGTGATATCCACCATCTCGGGCGCGGAACAACTTAACCTTATTGATGCGGCTCGACGAGCCCGCGTACGCTGCTTCGTGCCTTCAGAGTTCGAAGGCGCCATAGGCCATAGGCCGCCGGTAGGAACTGACCCTTTTGACAACGGTTCTTCGACGGCTTTGGAACAGCTTCGACACTGGTCCCAGTCGAGACACTATTCGATGAGATACACTGTTTTCTCATGCGGCATTTTCTACGAACGGTTTGCCCCTGGCGGTCTCCAATCATACAACATGGGCATCGGCTGTCGGATCCGAAACCAAGGAGACTACATGATAGATGTAGGCCTTGGAGCTGCCGAGATACCAGAAACGGACTCCCGGGGACGTCCGGTGTATGTCGTGATGACTTCGGCGGTTGATGTGGCACGATTTGTTGCCGCTGCTGTTGAGCTAGGAATCGATAGTTGGCCGCGAGAATTTAGGATGCGTGGCAGCCGCTTGTCGACTCAGAGACTTCAAGAGATTTGCAGCGAAGTTCGAGGAGGTAAGTGACAAAGCTCTAAATTTTCTTGGGGGGTTTTTTTTTTCTTGTTGAGTTCCTAACACATGATAGTTGCCTTCAACGTTATCAGTAGGCCATACGAAGAAATTGTGCAATGGCTTCGCTACTACGAGCAGAACGGAGACGAGGTTAAATGGTACAAGATGCAGCATCTTCTACAGACTGCTGATGGACGATACGCCTTTGGAGAATCAAATTTGAACGACGCGGTAGGCATACAACCAACTAGCTTTCGACAGTGGCTATACGAAACTTGGGGCCCGGCACAGTGATATTCATTCGTCGACAGCAAACGATCTAACTAGACCCAGCAATCTTTACGGATGTTTCCTTTTGCGCCTTTATTACTACCCATGGCCAAGCCCTTTACGATCTGCTAGGTGTTTTTATATCTACAGCGGCCCTATTTCCAAGCAACTATATTTTGTCGGTCTATTATAATAAGGACCCCATCTTGTAAGCATCACGGCTGAGTTGAGAAGCAAGGGCACGTCTATTTTTGGCTATTGATACATCTGTAACTCTTATTCTTGTATTCCTTCATCTTCTACTCTTTTTTGGTTGTCCTTCGGCATTCAAATTTGTATGCACATCAGCATTTAGCGCTCTTACCTGTCCTATCTATCTACATTGACTGCTTGGTCGCTGGTCGAGCAATAGCAGTTCAATATACGTCTTCTTTGTTTTCCGACTTCTTCCAGCAGTAGCAACGGCAACGACAAACTTGGTGAGGATTCCCATTTGTCTCAAACCCTCAGTCGTATATCGCGCCCTTCAACCGCCTCCCCCCCTAAATGTCTTGGAGATCTTTGTGAGACAGAAAAACGCACGGCAAAGCCACGCTAGCGCGACGGCTTGATTGTTGATGTCCCCGTAGGCGTAAGTGGTTGCATATAGGGTACATATGTTGCTTATACCTGCGTATTACGCCCCATTCATATACATTGCCGCCCCTCCAACCTAAAGGGGGGGGCGTAGAATAGAACGTCCCGTCGAATCGTTACCAGACAATCGGGTCAGTTGCAAAAATTCCACTTTACCCCCCGCGCCGCCTGTTTTCTTCATTTACTACTGGTTTAGGTACCTCATAATTTGTTTAATTCGCTATGCAACGGCTAACCCTATAATACTTTGCCCGCCGTGCCGCTTATACGAATTCCGAAGTGGCGACAAGAAACTTTAAGATTATTTTTTACTTTTTTTTTTTTCCTTTCTCTTCTATTCATTTGACAGCGTTCGTTCCCCTTAAGCCTTTCATTGAGCGCCTCATGAATGGGCGGGACACGAGCAGAGGGAGTGTTGCCTACGAGCAAAACGTCATACGACTTTAGCATATACGTAAGCTCACTTACATTACGCATCTACACATATTTCGTGTATCTATGATTACCTACCTACCTAGGTACGATTATGTGCCTACCTAAAGTAGGTATATCCTATGAGAAGGGACATGGAAAAGGGAGACAAGGCAAGGCAAGTCGTGCTGTGTTGAAACAGCGGCCATGATCTTCGTCCCTGCAGCCCTTGGCCTGACCACATACCCTACTGCGTAAACTCATCGTCTCATCATGTCATCCCGCCTTTTCTAACACTCAGCCTTAAGTAAATTAATCAAACACCCTCCGTGACACCCCAGTAAGCAAGCGGTCGACTTGTCCTTTTTTTTACCCTTTCTTTCCCTTGCGTGCAACCACAAGTTTTTTTTCTCTCTTCTGGCCTTACGCTGCCGTACGTCAATGTCACCGAGATCTGCAGGTAAGCCGCCGTCGCACTGCTTAGGGCTGCGAGTTAACGGGAGCATACCCGTATACACCACACCATTCCGTCCCATCTCATACGTACATATGCCGCCGATCACCAAACCCTGATTCTGGTTGGACTAATATCACAGAGCCTCAATTTTCCTAAATGAAATTTTTTTTTTCTTCCTTTCTTTCTTCCTCCCCCCTCGGGTACCCCTTCTGGAATCCTTCGTGTTGAACCGCGGGGCACCCGCTTTAGCTGTACCACCGGAAAACCAATCTCGGGAGTGGCAGGATTCGACCCATCGCGAATGGCGCAGTAACCCTTCTTTTTCCTTCCTCTATGCTCGTTTCTCCGCCATTTTCACTAGGCAACCTTCTCCTCCTCCAACAAACTAACTCCTGTGCTTACTTACTACCCCCCCCCCCCCTTTTCCGTTTTTCCCTTTCCTCTCTAATCTTCGCCGAATTCGTCAACGACCCACACACAGAACTTCTCCCACTCGATCTCCCACTCCTTCAGCCTCTGCGCCTTGGTCCCGCTTCCCGTGCTCGCCTCTCTGATGCCCCTGCTCCACTCCTCGGCAGACTGGTCCTCGAACGCGGCCCACCGTATGCTGTTCTCAGCCAGGCTCCCCAGCCCCGCTAGCCCTAGGTTCTCCCACCCCTGCAGCGCCTGCCAGAAGTCGTGCGTGGACCCGGCCGTGTCCTGGCCGAGCATGGCCGGGTCGTCGTTGCACAGCGAGCAGGCGACCCCGCGCGCGAGCAGCGCAGGCAGAGGGTGACTCATGACGGAGCCGCAGAGCCGGAGCACCTCGTTCGATATCGGGCAGCTCTCCACCAGGATCTTTTTCTCCTTGACCAGGTTGATGAGCAGCGGGTGCTTGTACAAGCTGAAGCCGTGGCCGATGCGCCTCGTCCCGAGGAGTATGGCGTCGAACAGGTTGTGGTCCGTCGAGTTGCCGGACCCGAGACACTCGCCGGCGTGGAAGAAGAAGGGGATGTTCACGCCCTCCTGGGCGCACTGCTTGCGGAACCAGAATAGCTCGGGCAGCAGGTCGCGCAGGGGCCGGCCGCTGTCCTCCTGACCGACCAGATCATAGCCGGCGATCAGGTGAGGGTGCGTGATCTTAGTCTCAATGCACTGCTCCATATTCTCTACGATGCCTCGCGTCGGAAAGAATCGTAGCGCTGCCCATATGATCCTCAGCCCCCAGAACCCTTCTCCCTCGGGGGTCTCCTTGAACCGCGCCACCTCCTCGTCTATGACCGTCATCATGGCGCCGTAGTCGGACTCGGGCGTCTCACTGTCTTGCCTGTAATAGTCCAGGGCCCACGAGAAGCGCAGCTCGCACCAGTTGATCCCGTCCGCCTTGAGCAGGGTCATGAGCCGCCGCAGAAACTGGCGGAAGATGGGCTCGTAGTGGATCATGGACCCGACCACCCGGAAGCACTTGGCGAACTTCTGCCATATGTGGTCGACGCCGTGGTGCTGGGACACGGCGTCGGTCCGCGAGATGGTGCACCGCCCGTACAGCCACTTCAGAAACCCGTCCTTCCCGCCGTCGGGGAACGCGTCGGCGGCCTGGGTAAGCAGGACGAAGGTATCGGGTTTGTAATCGGGGCTCCAGAGGTTGCCCTCGGTGCGCGGCTGCCTGAAGAAGCGGAAGGTGAGCTTGGCGTCCTCGCGCTCCTCGTCCGTGGTGAGCGGCCTGTCGGCGGCGAGGTGGATGCCGGGGGTGGCGAGGAGCACGCGGAAGAGGAAGTCGAAGTCGACCATGGCGTCCATGTGGGCGTGCAGCAGGGCGCCCTTGGGCATGCGGCGGACGATGCGCCACAGCTTCGTGCGCTCCATGCGGGCCTTGGACAGCGAGAACATCATCCCCGGGTGCACGACGATGTCGGCCTCCCGCGCCAGCGCGTCCTCCAGCTGCGGCGTCCACACCGTGTTCTTCTCCTCCTCCCGGATGCGGGCCGCGATGGCGCAGGCGCGCTTGGCGATGGGGGAGAGGTTCTTTTTAAATGAGGCATCTGAGTTTTTTTTTTCTTGTGTTAGATGAGGGGAATAAGATATAAAATAAAACAAAACAAAATAGAATAAGTTAAAATAAAATAAAGGGGGGGAATATACTTACCGCTGCGTTCCTTATTCTCCTCGGCTATAAGCGCCTCGCGACCTTGCAGATACTTCTGAATAAAAGGATCGGCCTCCTTGGGAAGATCCTGGGAGACCTCTTCCCACTCGTCGTCGGTGTATATATTTTGGGGATTCATCTTGTTTTATGTTAGGTACCTAACTACCTTAGGTACCTAGGTAATCTGATATCCCTTTTTCCTTTTTGTTTATATTGAGTACGTTAGTAAGGTACTAAACCAGAAATTAGGGGGGTCTGGTAGTTTTATAAAAGAAGGTCGGATTGATAGGAAGAGGTAAAGCATATAAGGAGGTGTCTAACCTAAATAATGAGAAGAGGAGAGGAGAGGAGAGTAGACGGGATGGGATGGGACAAACTTCAGTTTATATAATAACCATCGATGACTCCCTAGATTTGTACCTGAGTCCCGTCTATTATAGATCTCAAACTAATTGGAACTTAGGTTAGGTTAGGTACCTCCTATCCTTACTAACTTAAGGTAGAAGTGACTTGCTAAGTAAGATACGATACGTACCTAACCTAGGCAATGGCGTCTTCCCTATTCACGGGAATCGCCCAAGTTGGAAAAAAGATGAAGAGCTAAGGAAAGCTTCCGTCCCCCGTCCGATGCCGTCAAAACGTTATCGTAAAGGCAAAGTTTAGGTACCTCGAAAGCTAAGCTAAGCTGGGGAAGGTACTTTACCCCACGGGCCCCGCCAATGGCTGAGCTTACAATGGATGGATCCCTCGCTAATTCGGATTTTAGCGGTCCGTCTCGTCCTACGGTTTACAGAGAGGTACATTAGTACCTTAGGTTAGGTACTTTCTTCTTCCATGTTTACCTCCTAAATCCCGATGTCTTAACGCCCTTTTCATTACATATTAAGTACTTACCTACATAGTATTTCCAATTAAAAATAACAATGGGATTATACTATAGGTACTACGCCATTTCCCCACTGTAAGATAACATGTCACTTCAGACGGAAGTCAGGCTTGGCAGACCCGCATCGGCCGCCGGAGATCGTCGGGCTCAACTCCGGACCCCCCGGGGGACCTGGGTAACCGGGAACCGGGATCAAATTACCATTATCGTCTACGGCTGCGAAGCTAATGCGACATGTAAGCAGACCGGGCAAGAGTCATACTTGCTAGGCATCGGCATCGAGTAGTATCGACAACCTAACCTAGGTTAGGTAGGTACCTAGTGTTGTAATTCCGAGTCTTCGTTGGGGAAGCTGGGGTTACTCGCTTAGTTCAAGGAATTGATATCTGAGTGATTATCAAGTCCTCCGTAGACTAAGCATTCTCTCCGAGTGAACCTTAGATATTTCCAAGCAAAAATATCACCACAAATTTGGGGGCGCTTGCTACTCCTCCATCGAGCCCCCCAAACAAATCCCGTATCCGACTTCCCTTCCTACCCTTCCTACCCTACCCCTTTCCCAAAACGTCGAACTCAGTAGCAGATCCTCCCAACATCCAATCCAATCCACCCTCCACCCCCCTGAATCGCCGAGCCATCCAAGTGCATATCTGCGTATCAACACACGCCGCGGTTACGCCTCGCGCCTCGCGCTTCGTGCCCGTTCCGCCAACATACCTAGCTACTACGCTGGCTTACCACGCCCGCCTCGGAAGACGAGAAGAAAACACACCCTGCCGTTCGCCAGCTAAGCGCTTATCGCTTCACTTCCCCTACGCCATGGTACGTGAGTATTAATATGTTTCTCCCAAGGAAATCGGAAAGCCCTTTCCAAAGCTGGTCGGCACATACCTACCTACCTACCTGGTACATAACATAACATGGTTGTACTACGGCGTATCTACCTACTAATCTCGCATTCAAAGTTACATATTTGGTTACCTTCCTAGATGCTAGGTGCCTGGTAGACAGGTAATGGCCCCGTGTAATAACAGGTTAGGTACGTAAGGTAAGGAGAAGTTAGGATCTATAGGCGGCGCGACTTAAATAAGATAGGGGTATAGCATCACCAAGAAAACTGCCTACTTCTACGAATACCCCCCTACGACGCGCGTCAAAAAAGGGGGGGTTGGGGTGAAGGGGTTTTGAAGGAGTAACGTGTTTTCTTTTTTATGCTTCTCATATCTAGACTATCTATCCTACCTGTTAGATACAATACATACCTCCGACCTAGATACATTGGGTACATACAGGGAAAGATAGCTTCTTCTATCTATAGCCCCCTGAGCCAAGCCACCCTAAGCTTGCAAAGCAGTATCTTCCCTGGCGGAATGGCTCCCCTTCCTCCAAGCCTCCGTGTGATCTTTCCGCAGCCTCTCAATCTTCTCGCCCCCCACCTTGCCCCAGCCCCCTCCGCCGGGCGTCTTGACGATGATGTGGTCGCCGGGCTTCATCGGAGCGCTGTTCTTGGCGCCCAAGTTGATATAGCGAACCTCGTACTCGGCGTCGTCCTTGCCGTCCTGCTGCGACGCGTGCGCGCTTTGCGTGGCGAGGTCCTTCTCCGGGTGGGCCTTTTGCACGCGACGCACCCAGATATTGAGGCCGCACTCGGCGTCCTCGCCACCGGCCAGGCCGTAAGGTCGGTAGACTCGTCGCTCGCTGAGGATCGAGCATTGGATAGGGATCCGGAATTCGATGTCGCGGATAACTCCGTCGCCGCCACGGTGTTGCCCGTTACCACCCGATCCCTTGCGGATGGAAAACTCGTGTAGAAGGACGGGATACCGTCGCTCGAACACTTCAGAGTCGGTAATGCGCGTGTTCGTCATGTGTACGTGGACGCCACTAGTGCCTTCCCAGTCCGGACCCGCACCGCTTCCACCTGCGATCGTCTCGTAGTACCCGAAGCCCTTGACTTCTTTCTCTCCCGAGACGTTTCCTCCGAACCCGAACGTCAGGTTGTTGCAGCAACCCTGGCTGGCAGCACACGCTTGGAATGCTTTTAATATAACATCCGTAACCCTCTGACTGGTCAATACGTTGCCACCTACCACTGCAGCGCCCGTCGACGGCGACAGGAGTGACTTGGGTGGAATTTTGACCTTGACAGGTTTAAGGCAGCCCTGGTTTAGAGGGATGTCTTCGGAAATCAGACAGCGCAGACAGTAGATGATAGCGCTGTACGTAATGGCTTCAGGCGCATTGACATTACCGTAGATCTGAGGCCCCGTACCCTCGAAGTCGAACTCTGCCTCTCCCTTTTCAGGGTCGATGGTGACGCGTAACTGAATTGGCGTTCCGTCGTCCATGTAATCCACTGCAGACAGGTCTTTCCCTTCGAACTTTTTGTAGACTTTCTTTAATAATTGCCGGACGCAGAGCTCTGCGTTGTTCTGAATGCTAACCATGTAGAATTGTACAGTGTCTTCGCCGTACTCATTAATAAGGCCTTCGATTAAGGAGATACCCTTTTGGTTCGCAGATACCTGCGCTCTGAGATCGTTGATATTGTCTGCCAAACATCTGGTTCCACTACAGCCAGGATATTTTGCTGGTTCATCGTAAAGTAATTCCGTGATTCTCTTTTCGTTAAATTTACCCTCGCTGACAATCTTCTCGCTCTCTATCGCCGCACCCTCTTGGAATAATTCCCGCGAAAGAGGTGGCATACTGCCTGCGGTAATTCCGCCGATATCTGCATGATGCGCTCTTGACGCTGCGTAAAATAAAATCTTGTCCCCCTTTTTATTAAAGGCAGGCATGATAAGAGTTATGTCTGGCAGATGCGTACCACCATATGACGGGTGATTTGACATGATTACATCTCCCTTTTTGAGCTTACCCTCCCAGATCTCGGCTTGCGTCCTGACGCAAGTCGACATAGATCCCAAGTGGATAGGCAAATGCGGTGCATTAGCCACGAGTCCACCGGAGGCGTCAAATATAGCGCACGAGAAGTCAAGACGCTCTTTCACGTTTGTACTCACGCTCGTCTTTTGCAGCGCATGGCCCATTTGCTCTGCAATAGCCATAAAACGATGGCCGAAGATACTCAGCAGAATGGGATCGGCCTTTCGTTCAGAGGAATCCTTCTTATTGGAGCTGATTTACGTGTTAGCCTATCTTCAGTTTTCGACTTGTGAAAAAAAAAAAAAAAAAAAAAAAAAAAGGGCGAAGCTCACTCATCCTTGCTGCTCTTTTCTAGGTCAATAATGACATGCGTTTCTAGAATTAGCGCCTTCGCCTTTGGAGTCACAACAATAGTTTGTGTGCCGTCCGCGAGTACGGCCGGTCCGTTGATTTCGTCACCAACAGATAGATCCTCCAGTTTATAGATAGGCGTCTCCAGTCGGCCGCCTTCAAAGTAAACTTGAGACTTGCCATGCGCTTTCTGGTCACCAACAGATTGCCGCTTGACGTCTCTTAACTGCTGATCTACAGTCTTGTCCTGGTATCTGAAGCTTTTCCCGATACCGCGAACCCGGACATCATCTACAATGATGTCTCTGTCATCCAGAGTGAATCCAAATTCGTAGCGATGGTGGTCCACAAAGGCCTTGCCGAAAGCCCAGTCCTCACCGTTATAGGAGGCCTTCGCCTTCTCCTCGTCAGGTTTAATAATCATGAGCGCTGATTCGGTTCCACGATATTTCATGTTGAGATATTCTTCGAAGATAATATCGCTGTCTTCGAAGCCCTGGTCTCGCAGAGCCTTACGTGACTTTTCTTTTAGTTTTTCCATCTTAGCTTTTAGTTCATTGACAACGTCTCCCTTGTCCTGCCATACTGTGGAGTCTGGCTCTTGCCTCTCGTCGACAACATCTGCCAAGGCCATTCCGTACGCGGATAAAACTGACGAGTACCTGTGAACTAATATCTGCTTAATGCCTAGAGCCTCTGCGATAGCAACAGCGTGCTGACCGCCGGCGCCACCGAAGGTCGCCAACCGGTGCTTCGAAGAGTCGTGGCCCTTCGCTTCGGTAATCGACCTGATAGGCCGTGTCATAGCTTCGTTTGCTATCGTCAGGAAGCCGTATGCTACCTCATCCAAGCTCATATTTTTGCCAGTTTCCTTGTTAATTTGGTCAGCGAGTTCCTGGATCACTTTCTTGCTCGCTTCAAAATCTAGGCCCTCATCCTCATTTTTGCCAAAAATCTTGGGGAAAAATTCGGGCAGCAGGCGACCTAAGAACAGGTTCGCGTCTGTCACTGCAGCAGGGCCACCTTTGCGGTAGCAAGCAGGGCCAGGATGAGCTCCCACTGATTCGGGCCCGACGACAAAGAGACCATTCTTGAAGAAAAGTCTGCTTCCACCACCAGCAGCGACAGTGTTGATATCGAGCTGAGGTGACTGAATCGTAACGCCTGCAGTCGTCGTCTCAAAGACGTGCTCATATCGACCTTCTCCATAACGTGAGACGTCGGTACTAGTACCGCCCATATCAAATCCGATTACCGGAATCTTGGTCTCCTCATCGTAACTTGTAATAGCGTAACCAACCACACCCCCTGCAGGACCAGATAGGATAGCCTTCAATCCAGTGAATTTCTCCACGTCGACTAATCCACCGTCGCTCTGCATGAACTCGCACCTCGCACCTTTGCTGCCTTTTTCTTGGAGGACACTCCGCGTTCCTAGACCACCAACAAATCCTTTCTGGAAGCCAGCGATGTACTTCTTAATCGCAGGTGTTAGATATGCATCGGCACAAACACTTGTCGCTCGCGGGACCAGCTTAATCATGGGCATGAGTTCGTGGCTGAGCGAGATGTGGTTAAACCCAACTTCCGTAGCGATCTTGCCTACTAAGGCTTCATGGTCCGGAAATGTGTAGCCATGCATTAGACACACAGCTATGCTTTTGATGCCCTTGTCGAATATGCTCTTCAACTGGTCTCTGATCTTGCTTTCCACTGGTCGTTCCAAAATACGGACCGTCTCCCCTGAGAGCCCTAACACTAAATCGGATTTCAGCGCTTCCGCCGTCCCGGCCTTTGCATCGGCCTTAGTGATTGTCCGCTCCGGGTCTTCAGCATAGTCCTCAAGCGTAACTCGCTCGTCTATCTCGACGACCTCCTCGTACAGAACATCGGGCTTCCTGATAGCAAGGTCAAAGATCTTGGGTCGACTCTGGTTACCGATAACAAGACAGTCCCGGAAGCCCCTGGTTACGACAAGGGCTATCTTTTCGCCCTTGCGCTCCAGCAACGCATTTGTCGCCACCGTTGTCCCCATACGTATACTGTCGATCTTAGAGGTGTCCAGAGGTTCACCCCGAGGAATCTCCCGTCCCTCGAAGTGACTTAAGATACGTCGGATGCCCTCCAGCGGCGCATCTTCGTAGTTGGCCGGATCTTCAGAGAGCAGCTTGATGACAACGTCTTTTCCGTTCAAGGTTCCAACGCAGTCTGTAAAGGTACCGCCCCGGTCAATGGCAATACGGACACCGCGATCTCTCTGTTCAGTAGAACCCATCTTGTATGGGATGAATGATGGAACTGGCTAATATGGATAGAGGGAATATAGCACTTCGTAGCTTCGAACGTTTGGCAACTTATAGACCTAGGTTTAGCGGCATCGGAGAGCAGCGACACCCTGTTTGAAACCGTTGGAGCTTACAAAATTGATGCTCTTATTATTTTTTATATGTAAGTTTAAGATCTGACAGCGGATCATGTTCGTAACCTCAAGGAATATAAACCCAATAGAAGCGTACCTTTAGTGAGTGTATAGAGGAATAGAGGAGGATGAGAGTGGATACGGCATGGGTCCGAGAATAGGGATTCGGAAATATTAGGAAGACGTTAAGAATTTATTAACGACGGAGCCGATGTCGTCACTAGATAATAGTAACGGAGGTGAAGAATGAAATAACAATGACTCACCCCCACTGTAATTCTCCCTAAAATGACTGATTTAACAGTGCTATGATAGGTCTATAATAGACTTATTTCGCTACCCCGCAACATACCTACCACGTATACTTCCCCTTCCGCCCCCCACGATCCCCACAATAGGAGCAATAACGGAGATTCAGCTATATGTACCGGAATCAATATGATTATAAATCCTACTTTAGGTAGGTATCTAGAATAGGTAGGTAGGTAGTATAGAATTTCCTCTAATGGATGGGATGGCCTAAATTCTTCATTCTTCAATAGCACCTATATTTCCTTCCACCAGTGGAGTAACAAGGTAGGTAGTCTCGTTGCTTCAGTCTCGTTGCTTCGTGTATAATTTCCAAATAATATGTTGTAAACTTCGTATGCAATTCGTTGGACTTTTTCGCCAACCTTTGAACCTCTCTTGAAAGTTCATACTCTCCCCCTAAAACTCCAAAGTAATCACACCGCCCGTTTCGCATATACTCGTACACGCCTTGAAATCGATGGTCTATTGAGAAAATCCATATACATCGCTCGTCGCGGCGGCAAACCGTACTGATGTCGTACGCAGTTCCAAACATTCGTTTCGATGCCCTATACCCCTTTTTGATTATACGCCTGGCTTCCTCTCAAGTGCAAAACGTCCGTGGCAAGTAATCGACCTTAGTGTGTAACAACCCGCACTGCTTGCAACATGATACCAAAAAAGAGGCCTCTGGCTACCTCCTCGATCTGGAGGCAGTCAAACACTCGCCCAAGGGCCTCGCTTGTAGCGGATTGCCCCATGATCCCCATTAAAGCACCAGGAACGCCGCTCTGTATGAACAGCTTCCTGGCTTTAACCCTCAGCTCCTCCTTTTCTTCTATCGACATCTCCTTTGGCCATGCCTTTCGTTCTTCTTCTGTAGGTAAAGCATTCTCTCGGATTTTTCGGAGGTGAGAAGCGATACCACTATCCGACAAGTTCGCCTCAAGGACGGACTCCTGTACCAGTGATTGAATAGACATAAGCGACGGATTTCCTGGCCGCAGAAGGAATGATTTCGCTGCCGTTAGAAGTGTCCTTCGAATGTTCCAAGCCGATGATAGCGTGTAAAGCTCGTTAATCACAGCAAAAAGAAGTTCAACCGCTACGCGAGTCTCCTGCTCCGAAAGTGGCGCGTACTGTTTAGTTGGTCGCTTGCCTGGTCCGTTCGCTTGTGGTAGCTTATCCTGACTCGAGTTAAATGACCGGGCGGACGAATGACCGTTCGGAGTGGGCATTGACCGCGGGGTTCCATCAACACTCAAACGAGTGCTTACGGGTGATCCGTAGTCGTCTGTAATCTCATCCGGCGGGGGCGGCAGTTTAATATTAGTAAAGCTTAATTCGGATGGAGATCGCACCGGGGATCGTATCGGAGAGCGCAAGGCTACAGCACTTGAAGCGCGGCTATGCGCTCTACTACTTGCCGCACTGATCGAGTTCCGTTCCCAACGATCCGCTCTCGCAGGATGAAGGCCTTCTTGATCCACGTCTACTTGAATGCTGGGACGCCGTTCCATAGGAGCTACTTTGCCGGGCTGCGCCGAGGTAACGGACGATCTTTGGCTGTCTAGACTGTCTCTGGCTTTTGCTGACCCATTCACCGACGGGGTACTATCCATCCGTGGGAGAACTGGCATTGACAATGGCCGCATGCTTGGTGGGCTTTTCGTATTACTAGCTTCTTTAGTTTGCTGCTCGTTCAAGGAAGAAGTAGTTGATTTCCTTGGTCCTAGTCCAATGTTGCCAAAGACGCCGGTAACTCCGCCAACCACTACTTTTCCACTATCTAAAGCTCCTCTGGGTGCATTTTGGATAACATCGAGCACACCTTTCCCTACTGATTCGAAGGAGAAACCCTTGCTCGCGTTCGTTCGGGATTCTTGGCCTTTGTCTAGAAAACGCTTGAAGGCTTCTGATTCGGCCAGTGCTTTCTCTGCGCAAGCTGTCCTCATGTATCGCTCAATCTCACCGCGCAACGACGTCCTTGTATGCACCTTCCAGCTCGGAAAGTTAGCGAAAGCCTCCAGGAAAGCCGTCGACCCAGAGATGGCTGCAATTCGTCGCAAACTCTCATGGAGACTCTCAAACTGAGGGTACGTCTTCATTATCATCCAGCCAGGATGATGAGAAGTTGCAGGTTCAATCTGGATAAGATACTCCCAGGAAGGCTTGCCACGAAGCCGGCCTTTATCGTTCCCCGTGTCGTCGTGAATAGTAATAGTAGCATTATGTAACGTAAGGGGGGGAGGGCTGCGTGAGTCGCTTTCTTCTAGCTCTTCCTTCGCTGGCGGAACGATTTGATCAAAGCTCGTAAACCTACGAGCCGCCTGGTCACCTTTTCTGCTAGACGGTGACGAATTATGGTTTGACAGCTCTATAGGCGACCTGAGGGAAATAGGAGATCTGAGGGATTCTTCCTTGTCTTCGACATTCTGTGCTTTTGAGTTTATAGATGTACCCCTAGAGCTTGGGCTAGAGCCTTTCGGTTTCTCTAAGGAATTTCTGTTTGGGGTTTCCTCGAGCTTCAAGTCAAGTTCCTTGGCGTTCTTCTCCATAGCACTATCAAGGAGATCAGAGGCTTCCGTGCGGTTCTCATTTGATACCGACTTCGACTTGTCAGCCTCGGCAATCATCTCGTTGAGTCTTTTCATTTCTTCCATAGCCTTTTCCATTTCTTCGTCAGCTTTTGATAGCTTTTTCTTATGCACTGCCTCTTTGCGGCGCGCCCGATCCATTTCGTACGAGTTGCGGTTACCCTTAGAAAGACCAATATTTCCCACGTTGCCGTCAACGTCACCGAAGGCTTTTTGATCTTGTATCGCGTCGTCGATGGCTTGCGAAAAGTCTGTTTCTCCAGATTCGAGGAGATACACAATCCAACCATTGATCCATTCGGCTTTAGAGCATGTTTGTAAAGTACCTTCGAGAATGATTGTTGAGAGGATCTCTCTCAAGAAGATTCGAGCAGGGTCACAATCATATGCCGACCTATCTAGGAAGCCGAGCAAGTCTTCAGCCACCATCTTAAACTTCCCTGCCTGTTGCCTCTGGTTAAGCAAATTCGACAACGGCGCTTCAGTATTCGACGCAAGGTAATTATAGACAGCATCTGCCGCAGTTAAGTTCGTATCAGAAGGAAGCTCTGAGTAAGCATGAGCCATCTCGGATATAAAGACAATGATGATGGAGCACGTGTGAGTTAAGAAGTCGACGAAGGCATCGGCAGGTCGCTTGCGACCCAATTGATTTGAGACGGTTAGCAAGAAGTTAATTAGTACCCTTCTACAAGAGAGAGGAAATGACTTGTCAGATGGGACGATAGGCCCGTACCACCAATCCACATAGTCGCGAACAATGGCATCGACAAGGCTAATAAGTGCCTCTCGTGTTTCTGGTTGGAAGTCGTCAAAACTTCGAGCTAGAAGTTGGGCATTCTTTTCAATCTCTTCAGTCTCCAAACCCTCTCTTGTTTGCGTCGTTTTCAATATACGTTCCAAGAATTCGTGACCTTTTTCGCCTCGGACGGCCCGGGACGCTTCGGGATGTCGGGTCTCCCATGACACGAATAGTGTAATGCCACCGACAGCTCCAATCAATACTAGGCCAATCTGGCCGAGGACAAAGTACGTCACGGCGACGAGCGCAAACGTGATAGCCGCAAGGGTTGTAGGCGTTGCAGTGGAAAGAAATTGCAGCACCTTAGTGACGATATCATCTTGTTGGGAACTAGAAGATCTAGGTATATCTTGTTTTTTTGGACTTGTTGGGTGGCTTTGTATGGTATCGCCGGATCTCTCTACAGGTAATTTGCTCGAATCTATTTTCGTCTCATCTTGCGACACGGCGGGAACGGCGCCGAGTCGCGCATCGTCTGTGGTATTCATTAGGGATTTGCTGGTGTATTGTATTAGACGTTTATGGGCGATGGTAGTGGGCGCATTGTATTTATAACAAGATGATAGAATGCGAAGTAGAAAAGTATTGATTAATATTATATACCTAAGTAGGTAGGTAAGTATTAAACACGGTAATTAATTGAGTACCTAATGGTCCTTGGTTGTCTGTAGACTGACTGTGCGTTCGAAAACGTTCTGGATTATAGAGTTGACAAAATCGTGAAAGATATATTTGGCAACGGGATTCTTTTTAGAAGTTAGGGGTTCCCTAAACATCTGTCATGTACAATAGGTACCTAAAATACTCTTGCCTCAACGTTCGATATGGGATGTTTCATCCCAGCTTAGTTCGAATGTACTTTGCCATAGCCTTTTTGGTGGGAAGTACATTTACGAATATAGTAAACGTTTCCATATCTTAAAGTTTTAGAGAGATGTTGGATGTGGGAACCTGCAGGTACCTGGTAACACTAACTATAACAGGTATAGAGCCAATCAGACACGCAATAACTCCCAGTACTGAACTTATCTAGGTATAGGTTAGGTACCGTCAGAGGTACTTCAGTGAACAAGTACACACTACCTTAGGACTAGGTAGGTACCTACCTGCCTGTACCTAAGGCGCGTCTTCAAAGCACTTCCAGCATTTCGTTGACGCGACAAGTCGCAACCCCCACCACATTCTGCGTTTGTCCATAATATCATCTTTATTTTCCCTTTCCTTTAATTGACTCTCACACCTTCCTCAATTACCATCTCTAGGTACCTGGAAATATCAATATGGGTCGTACTAAGATCCTTAAGCGATCGCGTCGCGACGAGGACGAAGACGATGATGTTTCGAGCGAGCAGGAAGTCAAGTCAAGCAGCAAGTCCAAGTCCAAGCCCGCAAAGAAGGCCAAGACCTCTGATACCGGCAAAGACGATGATGGCAACCCTTTCTGGAGTGTATGTTATTCTATTATCCTATCACTTTTGGTCCTCATCGCTAACCTATTTCAAAGCTGGGCGGCACTCGTAGAGCCACTGTCAGCAGTTTCAAGGGCAAGACATTCGTCAACATCCGCGAGTACTACACAGATGCTTCTGGCGCCCTTAAGCCAGGAAAGAAGGTAAGCTATTGTAGCTAGTGGGGAGGGGGGAGAGAAACACGTATTTCGGCCATTCGATTTGCTTATCATAGTACAGGGCATCATGTTGACTCCCGAACAATACAATAAACTCCTCGAGGCCATCCCTTCCATCAACACCGAACTGCGAGACAAGGGACATGACACACCTGACATTTTAGGCGCTGCTGCTGCCGCTCCCAAATCGCCAGTAAAGGCCAAGCACGAGAAGAAGGTCAAACCCCAGAGCAAGAAGGCAAAGGCGAATATCGAGGCAACCAGTGACGAAGACGAAGAGGAAGAAGAAGAAGAGGAGGAGGAGGATGAAGAGGACTAAAGCCTGTTAGGTATTACAGGGTGGTTTACAGGTAATGGTGTTCATTGTCTCCATTTCCGGCACTACTCTCAGCATCTCCCTCATATGCTCCCTCATATGCCTACAAATACGTTAGATATCTACCTACCGTTTTCCTACCACCATAGGAGGGTCAAGCTGTTAATTAGGCTATCTTCTACCGGTCCGTTGCAGGATTCTCGGTCATTTCGACATAATTGATACCCACGCTCTCTTGAGCTTTCTAGAATTACTATTTCAGGACCAATTCCCACGCGACCCTTGTGCAGTCTGGATTCTTGCGGTATGTGTCCATGAACCGTCTTAGTAAAGAACTCTATATCCTAAACAAAACACTAAAAGGGATGGAAGCTTGTACGTGTAGCCTTATCCATGTCCTCAACTTCCATCATCTAACTTATGAGAAAGCATCTAGACTATACCATTATCGTATTGCCGTGATCTATAGCTTTTGAGGGAAACTTCAGGACTTCGAGACCAAGACTTGCCTTTTCCTTTTCATTTAAGCCCCGTCAATCAAGCGTTTCCATCAAGTCATAAGAATAAGTGTGACTGCCCATCAACGTATTTATATATGAAGCCGCGTAGGCTCTCAATGAACTCACCATTACAACTTATATATATCCAAACATCATATGTCGGCTCAGCGTACTTTATTTAGGGGCACGTCAACTTACTAGGCCCACTGTCCGCGAGAACCCAACTTAGAGCTTTATAGGCTCCGAACTCGTATACCCAGGTCAAGGGACTCAGTGAGCCAAGGGCTACTGCCTGTTCTGGCCTCGGTATAGTTCTTGTCATGGCAGCGAGTGGAGAGCATGTGAAAGGGAACATCCGCTCGGTCGGCTTCGACCTAGATGTATGTAGAAACAGTCCATGCCGATGGAGAACTTAATAAGAATCAATCCCGAGATCCAGGACCCGTGGGTATAACAGGTAATATAGATACCCGTCACATCGGATACCAATCTTCCTTGTATACATCTGGACTTTCCGATACGAGACTGAACTGCCAAGAGGCCTTTCGTTTTCGACGCAAACATATTGGCAATGTCCAGATTAACTTGATCAAACAAAGTAGCAACAGATGCTCTCCTCGGAACTCCGATCCCACCCAAAGCCAAGCTCATTTTTTTTAAAAAAAAAAATATCCTTGATGAGAAGCAGATCAGGCCCCAGGGGAAGTCGGGATGGTTGTTTAACCAGTTAGATGTCGAATACGAGTGTAATTTATCCCAACTTTGCGATGTTTGCTCGACTTTCCCGGTACCTACGGGCTGGATACGGAACAGGTCGGTCAATGAGTCCTTGACTTCTCGATTAGATCAGATAACTTGATCTGATTAGGTGGTAACCGCGGTACGAATATGGAGCAATTCACAGGGGAAGGGAAGCAATATACAGACTCCAGAGCATGGGCAATTGACCGAGGTGCTGCTGCTGGCTTGGCAAGTCATTTTGCCCTCCTTTACTCACGTGCGAATGACTACGACAGTGTAGAGACGAGACCCCCAATGCTAATGAACTACGAAGATGTTGCGATGGTGTCACGCTTCTCGGGTATTATAACAATAATAAACTATTTGTTTGCCAGTAGTAATCGATATACACCCTCATGCGTAGGTCTTCTTCTCTTGCTATAGTATAGTACCCGAAGCTCAAGGCGTCTTCATTCTTTCCTCTTCCACACCAGCAACTTCGCACTACCTGTTCAACCCTCCACTATCCGCTACCGATACCGAGGCTTCACCGTCGCGGGACGGAAGAGCGGGAGCTATCTTCCCGTCCCAGCTCCGAGCTATCCTTTCGGTCCAGACGCTCGGGTACTTCGATGACAAACCTAGGACCGACGTAATCACACTACGAAATTAGAAACAATCCCTCCCCTTGAATATCTAAGCGATATGACATATATTGCATTACTATTCTTCTTCTTTTCCCTTATACCCCTTTCCATACGTACATCTAAGATTACTGTGTTAGATCTTCCCTGTATAAACTCAAGCTAGCTACCTTAGGTAGCCAGTCAGGTACCACAACACAGTAGAAAAGTCACCATGAAAAATCGTTGTATTATCGGAGAGCTAGCAACTAAGAAGTAGGGCGACCGGGCGAGGTCAAAAAGGCACTAGGTAGGTATACAGATAATCTCGTATCACAGACTATATTCGACGTGGTACGCGGATAACAAGCCATCCTTATCTGAACTCCCTGACCCTTGTTGAAGAGGGGATCGATCTACAAAAAGACACCAGAATCGAGCTGACAAGCAGCAGTATAGGTAAAGGACTATTAACCAACCCGTAGACATTGTTAGAGTAAGCCACCTAATTTATATATCCCAAAGCCCATTTCGTCAAATGCCAGCAACAGCCACTTTCAACGACATGATGTCAACAGTCTACAGTGCCAACAGGAGGAGGACTTAACACCCCCCCCCCCTCCTCTTATGTTTCCCATCATTACCATCATCTACACACCAGCTATAAGTGTTCTACATAACTCGGGCTACCACATTACCGTACGACCAGGGGAAAGGATATTGGGGTGTAATGAAAATTGTGTTTGTTTGGAAAATGCTACCTCACACAAGGCTTGGTACGAGTACAGGCTAGATGATCAGGGTTAGCATCATGGGATAGGTATTCTGCGCGCGGGATCCAAAATGGTTTCTAATCGTAGTGCAAACGAGATGGCAACGTAGGGGATTAACTGAATAATTACCCAGGTACTACCAAAAGGGCGACGGACGAGAGCACGTTAGGTAGATAATCCCATTACTGTAATATAGAGCCAGGAAAAGCTGGTCACAAATTTCCACTTAATTGCCTTACAGCCTAATATGTGATACGATTGGCTGGGACAGTTGTATGTAGCTTAGAATCTAAGTTCGCTGTGTATCAAGCAATAGCTTTTTAATTCCATCATCGAGTTCATGACCATTGATACCAGAAAAGAGACATTTCCAACACACGCCCACAGTGACACCACATCCTTTTGGTGAATAGAAAAAAATCGGGTCGTCATCATGTCGTCACTAGGAAAATAATTGTACCAGCAGCCTCACGTGCTCTACGAGGCTGATGGATGTGATGAACAAAGTAAAACAAATTCAGCCTCGGTCATGAACATTACTCGCCTAGAAATCGTAATAGGCAGGACTTTTGCGTTGCTCGAGTATCTCATCCTCAGCATAAAAAAAACAGAAATAATCGATGATCATCTCAAGAAAATTAAGGTCCACCATGCGACGCGTTAAATCGTGAGGCATTTACACGGCCTTTCAACGGCTGTTAATAACAATCAAGAAGTCGTAATTTTCGTCATCGTGTCTTCTGATGGATGGGCCCAAGCATGATGATGATTCGTCATGGCGAATACAAAAGATGCGGAATGGAACAAATAAAGGAGCGTCTCGTAGTCGGCATTGCACTCTATGGCGCGGAAGTGATTCGTCTCAAAGAATCGATTTTCGCACAAGTGCCCCAACACCCAGATTAATGCGCAGAGAAAAGAGAACATCAGCATGACACATCGAATAAGCTCATACCAGGTTATCGCCGGCGAGCCACCGCTGATGTAGGACGGCTCATTGCGTCGTATCCCGCGGCAATGGGTCCGTCGATTACTGTCTTTCGGCGCTTTAAGTCTAACCCACCGCTCGACGGGCGAGGCAGATCATCTTCATCATCACGGCCTCTTTTCAAGGCACCTGATGCGCCGTTCATAACCGGCTGAGCAGCATAACCATTCTGCATGGGGGCGCCCATATCGTTTTGCGAGCTATAAACATCCGGCGGTGGTGCGCCATTAGTGGGCGCCCGATCGCCACTCATTACATTATAAAGGTTGCTTGATTGGGGCACACGCGGTGGCGTACTATAGCCCGCTTGTTGAGCGTAGTACGGTTGCGGCGGTGCTGCTGTCCTAGGGGTAGCTCGCCCAGATCCGGCTTGATGATTAGGCGACCCCGTTATCTCAGGGATATGTTGATGATCGCCTGGTAACGCAGAAACAGGCGGGTGGTTATAATTATACGTTCTGTTGGTGTCATAAGCACCACTGTCGTGAGTATATTCTGCCTCATGCTCAGCTTCATCCTCACCGGACGGGTGAGGAACACCATCACTATGTTGCAGTAATCCGTTGGATGGCTTAACATCGGCCTGCTCATTAGGACCAGTTGGACGTCCAGCCGGAGGGCCCATCTCACTTTTCATATACGAATTTGTCTGGCCATATATGTTTCTATCCTGTGGGCTGTTGTTTGAGGGAGGATAAGGAGACTGTTGGGTAGCTTGACCATTATAGACCGCACGTGAACTGTCATAAGGTTGGTTACTCTGCGAATAAGACTGCATACTCTGCAGCGTGTTTCCTGGAGGCGTAGTTGCCGGTGTAGCTGGCATAGATCGTGCAGCGTTGCTGAGACCCGTATCGATAGACATGGGATTAGGACCCTGAGCACCACTCATCCCTTGTTGACCCCATTGGAAACTTTCCGATGAACCCATGCTTCCCATCACGCTTGATGCACTTGTCGGCGGCGTCGGGAAAGTGTGTGCCCTGTCAAGGGACGGGCGTCCTGCGTTATTATGAGATGGTAACGGAGGTTGGGGTCCTGGTAGTCCCATGTGGTGGTGATGCTGCTGGATTGACGGCAAGACGCCACCAGGGGGTGTCGGACCCGGGCCGTTCCGCATTTGACTTTGCTCCTGTTTTCGACGTTCGGCTGCAGCCATGACTTGATTCGTTCTATTTTGATTTGTAGGGTGGTATAATAAAGCTCCGATGTTGTGAACGAACAGTGGATACAACAGCTCCGTGATCTTCTCTTTATTGGCGAAGTCGAGAGCTCTCTCGAAGGGAATCCTGGAAGAGTTATTATGGGTATACATGTTCAACCGCCGAAAAGGGGTCTCAAACTTACCAAACTCCCTTGAGGTGCATAGGACCAATTTTAACGACGTGCCGCACTTTTTCGCTCTTCAAAATTCCATCCCTTCTTCCACGTGTCATTCCAGCGACGTTTAGCAGTTTCGTGCCATTGATCATGTGATTATCTGCCAAAATCTTGTGAGCTCATTCCTTAGTTTCTACCGTTTGAAATATTGAATTCCTACCTTCTCGGCGTGCAACACAAATACCCTTCGCCTCAACCTGGAAGCACAAGCTGCCCTCATCTTCCCAAAGCGTGGCCGTAACTCGGGGTTTCATCCCCGGCGGCGCAATTTGACCTGTTGTGTCAAACCCTTGATACTGATTTTGCATGCCTCCCTGATTGGGAACCCCAGGTAGAGGCAGGACATTTTGGGCACCCATGGAGCCCGAGACTGCCGGCGGCGCAGACTGGGGAGATGTCAATCCATTGGCGTAGCCGTATTGGTATGGAGCAGTAGAATACTGTGCTGGGCCTGGTTGTAATAAGGTCGGCTGCTGGTGGCCATACTGAGGTAACGCGTTTGATGTTACGGTCTGTGGCTGGGGTGCAGGACCTGCAGACATGTGCGTAGCTTGGTAGTACATGTCTGGAGGCGCGGTATTCATCGCGGAGTATGGCTCGTACCCACCAATGGCCTGGGAAGGAGGGCCAGATATCGCCGTTGTGACGGGAAGACTAGGAGATGGCGTCTTAGGGCCGTTTGAAGACGGTGCCGAAGTGAATGAAGATTGCGAGTCTCCGTTAGAACTCGCGGAGGATGCAATGGAACTAACCCGGGGAGATGAACTACTCGAGGAGTAGGCCAATGGCGCCTGGGGTAAGGGGAGCGAAGGCAACCTCTCACTCACATACGGCGGGCGCTGAGAAATGGAACCGTAGTATGGTGGTACGTCAGACGTTCCCCGGGTTTGCGGCTGGGAAATCGGCGGTAGATCCAGTTTTACGGCGCTCGACAAAAATGCCACGATGGGCTAAAAAAAAAAGCTCAAAAAAACGAGTCGAACAAGCAGGGGCCTGTGTTTGAGTACAGACCAGCACCACAATTAGGCTTCAATTTATTCAGAGGAATAATGAGCCCGCGGTAAAACGAGACAAGCGGTCCAATTGGCTCGTCGACAGTTCAACCGATAGGGTTAGGAAGTAAATTTTGGGACGGTGTCACGATTGCTGGACGCGTACGAACTTATTCGACGGGCTGTGATCCAGCACTTGCGGGGAAATAGGCACGGCGGATGTGCTTCCTCGGCAATGATGGTTTTCCCGTACGGCGTAATCGTTACAGGTCGTGAAGCTCTAAAGGAATCGTCAACTATGATGAACTAAACGCAGTCTAGAGGAATAAATCAGGCTCGAGTGATATTTCAAGGGAATGTGGATGCATTGGCACTCTGCACTACAATCGTGGCAGTCGAAGAATGACGGTTATATTCGACGTAATAATGTGCAATGAGGGACGCTGGGAGAGGGGACAGGGAAAGCGGCGAAAAGATGTCGTCGTCTTTGATCGTTTGGACAGGATGAGTGAGGTCTCTCGCACGAACGCATACACATACACACGAACACACGAACGAACACATCGATGTACCTCCCTCCCGATTCCGTTTTTTTTTTCTATTTCTCTTCCTCTTTCATCCTCTCAACGAGGTTGTCTCTCTCTCTCAACTCTAATGCAGGAACATCAGGTCCCAGATGCGCAGGGCAGGATGCAAAGTGGAGGGGGGGTAGAGTTTGCGCGCAAGTAGGAATTGGGAAGAGGACGAACACATACCTTCTCTCCGGACCTCAATGGCGTTCGCTGGTGAGAATTAGGGAGGTCGAGACGTCACCAAAAGAGAGAAGAAGAGGAAGTTAGAGGTGAGAAAAGGAAAAGAAAGGCCCAAGGTTTTTTTTTTTCCTCTCGTGGTGAGGAGGCAGGAAGAGGTAAAGATAGTGGAGGTACGAAAGTTGAGAGAGGTCAAGGTAAGAAAAGACGGGACACAGACATGCAGACGGGACTAGACGCTAACTAGGTAGTAAAGGTAGGGTAGCAAGGGTAGCAGGGTTAGGAGAGGTAGACAGGTAGACAGGGCAGGTGTAGAGGATACACATACAATGCAGAGAAGAGCAAGAGCGCTGCTTTTTAGGAAGCGGACTGTGAATTGTGGACTATGGACTGTGGGCCGTGGACTGTAAGGAAGGTAGGGATTAGTAGCAGCGAAGCCGCTAACACCAGACGGGGCCGGGTGTGGGTGCGCCTGGCTAGGGTTTGCTGTTGAACCGGGGGTGGAGGGGAAGGATGAATAGTGGATAAGGATAGCGAAATGGGCTGGCGGGCTGGCGAGGTTGGTGGTCGGGGGGGGCCAGTTTCCTCCTTGTAAGGTTCCTATGTTCCTAATAAACGGATTGGGTACGTACCTAGCTTGACGATAGGTAGACACTCTGGCTGTCTGGCTGTCTGGACAACTTTTCTTTTGTAGGTGGTAGCATGGGGTCTCGTCCTTGGTGGCCCAAGGGTTGTACAACTAACACCAGGCTCTCTGCTTAGTGTGGCTCTTTTTTTCGGTGGCGTGTAATCATCAGGGTTGTTGTTGTTCTTCTACCGGGATGAGGGGCTGGTCTTGCAAAATCGTACGCACAGTATAAACCCAAACCGGGGACTGTGAGGGAGAAGGCTTGGAGAAAGGTGAATGTGACTTCAATTCGAATAGGTAGGCGCGCATTTAAAAACGTAACTACCTACCTAGCACATGGGCATTGCATAGTAGTAGCTTCCTCTACAAGATGTTGAGATGAAAGCACAAATAATAAAAAAGTCTATCAAGGTTATCAAGGTCATCAAGGTTTTAACTAGGCTTAGTTAATACCTAAGCAATAATAACATGAATTGGCTGTCGCCGTCGAAAATTGTGTTTAGGTCATTTGTAAGATAAACTGAAAGAAAGTTGAGTTTTTTGTTTTTTTGTTTTTTTTTTTTTTCCTTTCTTTCAAAGCCCCCCGGGCTGTCGTGGTTCTCTCCCCTGGCCTAGTGTAGTGGAATATGTAGATGAGATGCACAGTACGAGCCGAGATTGGCGAACTGATCGAGTTCAAGCCAAATGAGATCTCTTCCCTTTCTTTCCCCCCCAACCCCCGAGCCACAGAGCCTTGCCCATCTTATTCAATTCAGGACTATCAAACGAATGAAACAAATGACTACCCTTCTATCCCACGGAAGACTCGTGGATAGAGAGACATGATAGCTAAAATTAGATTCTTAGCCTGAACCTCGAATCTCCCTACACAGTGGCCAGGGTAAAGAAAGCTGCTAACACGCACAACACAGACGACATCGATGATTAGTCAATTCACCTTTCAAAGAAGAAGCGAAGTACACATAGATACCTGGTCCTGTACTTATCACACAGCACAGCATTATGTCGAACCTCCCAAAAGCTCTCCATAGAGACATACTAAATTCCTATCTGTCGAATAGTATTAGTTTTGGGGTTCCAACTACCTTAGTTTGCAGAGAATATACTCGCTATGTGGATTCCCCGCGCTGGATTAGATACGTGTGTATTCCCTGAGGGCCTGGTCGGAGACGGTGAGCGCGGCCTTACTTACAAGCACTCAACTACGATTCTCGAAAGCTGATGGAAAAAAAAATCGTACGCATCCTTACGATAAGAGATTGCAATGTAGTTAAGTATGATTAAAATAGTGTTGAGAATAAGGTTAAATTTTGAAGTTGAAGTTCAGTTTGTTGTACCTTTTTTTTTTTAAATCTTGTGACATGCGTCTACAAGTATTATAGTACAAAGTACCTAACTTTAGGTAGGTACTACCTAATGTAGGTTGGCAAACATTTCTTTGTAATTACTTCTAGTTACGTGTAACAAACCCGGCTTACACAGTTATGCATCAACTTAGGTACATGTTATGCCAACCAGTAAACAAAATGTCTATAGCTTTGGATTTTATACCATTATCGTCCATTGACTAATGAAAGTTTGTTTTAAAATCTGGAAAGGTTCGATATATTTTATCAGATGCATACACGAGATATCAGCCTACCATAGAATTGCCTACATACCTCCTAATCTTCGGAAGTAATTAGAAGTTGAGCCCAAAAAAAAACGTCGAAGGCTTTACTACAACTTGAAACATATCTAGGACAGTGCAATGCGATGTTACCCACGGGGCGTATCAGTACATTATGTCAAAGGGGTGGTTCTAGTAAGATACAATGGAGGAGAAAAGGGTATCGATCGTCCTCCGGACCGCGCAGAAAAAAAAGACTACCAGCGCTTTTCCTAGGTAATTCCTATCTCTCTACATAGTACTGACGATGGCCTACCACAACCTAACAAGTCCGAGCATAGTATGGCACCGTCTCACAAAAGTACCTAATTAATATAGGGCGTACTGGGCTTCTGAGACGCTGGCGGCTCGTGTGGCTGTTCCAACACCGGTACGTCTATGCTTTGCGCGAATACAACAATCTCTCCTGTCATTGTGTGGTTATCTTATGTAATTCCAGAGTGAGACGCGGGACGGCTCCCTTTGTGTCTTTCTTTTCGAGATGGTGCTAACGTCGATTGTTGGTTGCTCAGATCTGCTTTGCTTTGGGACCCTTACCAACCTTGTGTCTCGAATTGCCTTGTCCGGCATCACCCTCGATTAGTGTATTGTGTCTCTTACATTAGGTATTCGTACACTATGGTAAACTTCGCCTTCACCCGGTCCGAGGTTCAGGCTGGGCTTCATCTTGAATATACCCTGCCTGCCCTGGCCCTGCCTCTTGGGAATAGCAGCTTTCTGCTAGGGAGAAAAAAAAGATTTGCTCGGCCGATCTCAAGGGCTTCATAGCTGGTCGGCTTGGCGTGGCCTTATTCCTTGACCCGGTGCTCCGCATCGCCACTTATCTCCGCATCGATATCGGCCTATGTATTCTAACGTAGTATGGGGGAGATACTCTCAGCCACTTATATTAATTAATCGTACGTACTTATCATTTCACAGTTCAGGCTCGGACAACGCTCATAGAATTGAGCCGACTTCTTTGTCGTATAGCGTATAGTCTCTATATAGTCACTGTCTTGTCCTCGCTACGGCTAGTCGGTGTGGAGTCCGCGAACGGCGATGATTGCCGAGTTATTATCAACACTCCTATTCATTGATGACAGGAACAGAATAATGGACGGTTAGGTTTTTATTTTTATTTTATTTTTTTCAATCGCCCAATAGAGTGTTAATATGGAAATAGACCGTTTCGTTTCTCGTTAAAGGCGTGTCTGCAGCAAACCCGGCGGCCATTGAGCAATTCTTTACTCCGCACACGCCTTTTGACTAGGCTTGTACATAGCACGCTTTTCTTGGCTCTTCTGCCTTTCCCCTCTTTTTTCAATTCTGAGGTCGTCCCTTCGCCGGCCAAGGGCCAAGGTTTCTTGTTGGTAATCACCATCCTAGTCTTCTCGGTGGGCCTGTCAGGGTTGCAACGTCGACCTGGCTAGGACTGGCGGATTCAACCAACAAAACCCTATCGTCATCCTCGTCCCAACTCCTCCTGGCGGACCGAAACCAGATCTAGCTGGTGGCTCCGACGAACCTTAGAGTGGTGTTGATCACATAGACGTCCGAGCCCCCTTATTCAGATCGACTTGGGGACTTAGATCTGTTTATATGTGATAAATGGGCAATCTAACAATGGGTGATTTCGATGTAGCTCTACTATGTACGTGTCTAGCTGTTCGTCAGTTATGCACCTACCGTAGAAGCTAAGGGGCGTTCAGCTAGGGACGGCCACCAATGCATGCACTCAGACAGGGCCTAGTCTATGTATGTGCATGTATGTATGGCAGATGTGACACGCTGCGAGCTTAAAGATATCCGTCGCCTAGGCAAGTCATCCGTCCAAAATGCGAGAGAATACTGGTTTTGGGATATAACCTAGACCATTCCCTCGAGT